GGGGGGGGGGGGGGGGGGGGCGGTATTTTATTTTTACATCTCAGCATCATCTCTTCAGGGTATCCAAGGATGTACAAATCATCTTTCCAAAAACAAAAAGTGAGAGTGAGAACAACAGTGAAATTTATTTTCTGTGCCACTTAGGCCAGAATGCGAACGGACACACCCTCATCTGCTGTTAAGGTGTGCGACTTCCAGCTGAAACAGGGGTTAATTTATGGCATGTTTTCAGTTTAGCTGGTTTCTTTGTGGCCGATCCGGAATAAAAATCACCATCGTGCAAGCCTGACTGCATTGCATATTGCCAGGGTCAAGGTCAGTCACCCCTGACAATATTTTATTCACCGATTGGACTTCCTGCCCGCTTTTCTTCCAAGAGCAGAAAGTGATGTTCTCTACTTTTTCCCCCACAACAACCCTGTGAGGTAGGGTGGGTCGAGAGAAAGCTTAGGGTGAACCTGGATCTGCCTGGTCCTGTGGCCATAGAAAATAGCCCCTGCCCAATTTCCCTGTAGCTTCTCTTTATGCACTTGAGTGCAGCTATCTAATGTAATTTGGTTAACTCGGGCATGGGGAATTACTGAGCAAACTATTTGAAGCAATTGGAAAAGCATATTATTCTAGACACTAACGACTGGATTCAAAGCATGTGTAATTTATTCCTTTTTGAAAAGACTTTTTTTTTTTTTACTAATTATCAAAAATGATCCCATTATGCTTCCCTTTGGCACAGATTCATGGTATTTTGCAAGAATGTTTTTTTTCCCCTCCTAATTTGACATTTCCTTACATTGTTTAATACTTGATATACAAGTGGTATGCCTAGCTGGTTCATAATTTTTCCTTTCAATTTTGGTTTTGCTTGTTACGGTTATTAATCGTGCTTTTCCATCTTTTGTTTTTGTTTACAGTTGGCTTCTGCGTTTTTTGTAGTTCCTTTTTTTGGTATCTCTCTGCAGTTTTTTAATAACTCGTAATAAAATAAGCTTTAACACATAAATAAAAAAAGGTCCCATCTCCCCTAAGTCTTCTTTCCTCCCAGCTGAATCTCCCAGGTTCTTTCAGCCTGTCCTCACAGGACACATCCTCACATCCCTCTATCATCTTTGGTGCCCTCCTCTGAATTCTGATAAGCCTGGATTCTCTGGGAAGCTGGCTGAAAATTCCACGCAAAGACTATCCATGAGCCCTGTATGGTTTTTGGTATCAGAGGAAGCACACTCTTAAATCTCCTGCTTGCAGAGTTTCCATAAGCCTTGCTGGATGCCAAGCAAGCTGAACCTTCCACCTAAAAGGCATTTCCTGATGTTCTATGTTTTCCTTTGGTAGTTTGAAGTATCAACCTGTACTATGTCTCCAGCTCCAGCTGGTTTTTTTTTTTTTTTTCAAAATTACATTCTTGGTTCCCTTATAGGGAAGCACTCCTAATCTCACTTTTCCAGCTCCACCAGTTTGGATACTGCATGAATGGGAGGCCCAGCTGTCACCATTCTAAGTTCCTTCTGCTTGTTCCTCTAGAGCAGGGTTCCTCAACCTCAGCAACTTTAAGATGAACTTAAAGTTGGGTGGACTTCAACTCTGGGAATTCAGAATGCTGGGAGTTGAAGTCCACCCATCTTAAAGTTGCTGAGGTTGAGGAACCCTGCTCTAGAGGATTTCTAATCCATGCTTGCAACTGCAGTAGCTAATTGCTCCAAAAAAGGGGGAAAAAATCCCTCTCCCAAAGGGGAGAGGGGGTGTTGTATATGTGCTGAAATTTGCCTATCCTCCTAGGTGGTCTTTTGCAGTCTTGGATGTTGAGAGATACTTGACAAGAAAGACAGCAGAGACTCTCTCTCACATCTGCTGAAAGGCGCTGGTTTGAGATAGCCTGCATGGTGAGGGCCTCGATGAGTCTTAGCAAGGATTATAATTTGGCAGCAAACCTTTCCATTATTCCAGAGTCATGCTCAGGAGAGCTGCTAGAAGTCTGACATGCACTGATAAGCATCGCTTGGCTCAGCCAAGAGAGTCTGAATACTCACGTTGCACCCAGTTCCCTGTGACCGGACTGAGAAAGTTCGGATAAAGCCCCTGAGGCTTCTCAATTCTATTCAGGACCTTCCGGATCTTCATCACCTACAAGAAGATTAAAAAATGGCCGTTATGAGCTCTTTGCTATTTTTAATCAATGGATTTTTTTTTAATAATGAAACCACCCATCAAATATTGATGATAACTACAGGCTGGGGATTATGAGTGTTGGTCCAACATGTCTGGAAGGCACAGGTTGGGGAAGGCTGGGGAGGGTCATTCACCGGGAAGGCCGACTCTATGTTTGGTTTCTGGGTCTGGAGTCTCCAAAAGCAAGCCTTTCTATGGGTCCGATGATCGGGTCAAAGAACATAAGAAGCAAGCAGTGTCCTGCTGGATCGGACCCCTGGCCCATCTAGTCCAGCAGTCTGTTCTCGCAGTGGCCAACCGACTGCCCAAGGAAGCCCACTAGTCTCCCAGCAGATGGCCTTCATTGCCATCAAGGCCAACAGCTTTTTAATTTGCTTATAAACGATTTGGAATTAGGGTGGGTAGCCAGGATGCTAACCTGGCTGCTGATTTCAAACTGTCCATGGTAATAACATTAAAACAGGATGGTGAAAAGCTCCTGCCAAATCTCTGAACAGGGCATAAAATGACATCAAAATCTACATTGGCACAACCCCTCCAAATTCACAATACTTGAATAGGACTTGAGTTGGCAATGGCTGATCAGGACGGGGATCCTGGCATCATGAGGAAGAGCCCAGTGAAAAAAAATCAGCCAAAAGAAAGAAAAATCCATGCCAGAATAACGAGAAAGGCAACTGAAAATAAGTCAGCCAGCATACTAGTAACTTTATATGGTGAGACTGCATTGGGAGTAATGTATACAGTTCTGGCCAATGTATCTTAACAAGAATATTCTGCAAGGAAGGATTATTGCAACAAGTGATGTTTTGCTTAGAGCAAAGGGGAATAAAGGACTCACGCGTGGTATGGAAACTGTGGACAGAGAAACGTTTTGTTTTGTATTGTTTTTCATGGATATCTCAATACAGTATTAGACTATGCATCTGAAGCTAAATATGGGGGCGATTCCCAGACTGATAAAAGGAAAGGCCTCTTTATGCAATACGTTCATTTGTGGAATCCAGTGCCATCAGACACAGCGATGGCCGATTAAAAAGGAGGCTGGACAAAGTCATTCTAGCTTGGCTGATTGTACTGCCTTCGACACAGCTGGGACGCGATGGCAGAGGCCATTTCTACTGTTGGCATCCAGTGCCTGATACCTGGTGGCATGCAATGTCCTAGAATGCAAAGGCTTCATTTAGCTATTATGGCTGACAGGTCCATCCTCCATGGGAGGCACTCACGAATGCCGTCTGTGCGCCAGCAGATCCCCAGACAGGTGCTTCTCCAGCAGCCTTTCCAAACCAGCCACAGCCAAAGACACCACAGGATCCCCGAGCCAGAGAGAGATGCAAGGAACCGAGACGAGAGGCAGGCTCCGAAATGTCCTGTTGCCAGGCAACTACATCCCAGCACCTACATATGTTTTGGCCAATTTCCCCTTGGCTGTAGACCTTCTGGTGGCTGAAGAGCCTCTGACCTCAGAAGGTACAAGAAAGATAATGGCATCAGAGCAACTTTGAATGCAAGCTGTTGGGTGGCTGGTTGCGTTCAGGCCCCATTGTAGGGCACCGTAATAGCTAAGAGGACACACGCTTGGTCTTAAGGAAGACTTCTGAAAAAAGACACAATCAGGCCACCTTCTTGTGCTCCATCTCACCAATTTCAAGGAACCTTCATTTTATAGGCACCGTTTCTAATCCGGCTGCATCCTGTATTTGTTATCGCATCCAGCTAATTGGGCCTGATGCAAACCTGATGTTTTCAGTGTGACTTATTTTTCTCTGCCATACTGCGTGAACATCAACTGTACCAAGTGGCGGGTACAAACCAGGATCCAGAATCCAGTGTTCAGAAACCACAGCTTGGGCTGTGTTTTGTTTAAACCTTGTGGCTGCCTTCAGCAAACAGGAGTGAAGGCCATCCAACCTCAGGCTCAAGACTGCAAACTAGGCTTGAGGCTCACAAGAATCAAGGGCTGTTTGTTCTACTCTTTTATCAATTGTCAGGTTGGCTCCCGCTGCACATTAGCGATGCACTCCCTCCACTGAAGAACCTGGCATTTCAGTAGCAGGTCTGAGCACCCAGGCAGATTAGCGATGTCCTATTTTTTTTTTTTTTTTAAGAAAAAGACCCATAAATCTCTAGCTGGGAGCTAATGAACCAAGTCCATTTCCCTCCAGATGGCTGTTTGCAATCGGCACCCCCCGTGTGCGCTCTCATATGGCTTTAGCTTTAATCTACAGCACGTTCTGGGTGGGCGAATCCATTAACGAGCCAGTTTTCGCCCTGGTGGAGCGACTGGACTTAAGTGAGTGGTCTTTCAACTGACCTCTTGGAAAAACACCGGACAAGACGCATCCTCTCTCCTACATTAAGGGATACGTTAGGACGAGGCATGTTGCGTTAATACGAACTTCAGCCAAGGCTTTCCATTAAGGTTGCATATCCAGAGTCTCCATCCCTGTGGCACTTCTCTTCCCGGTTTCCAGCTGCCTTCCTTTCCCCTCTCTTCTCCATCTCAGTTCCTTTATTTCCTCCATTCTCCAGCACATCTTCTGCGCTAGCCCTTTTTCCCATTCTCTCCTTTATTCCTATCTTATTTCTCCATTTGGTTTCCTGCTTCCCTAGTATTTTTCCTCCCTCTCTCGCAGCCTATCCCTCCCCAATTTCCTTTTGCATCCTAGCCACCCCTCTCCCTCTTAGCAAGCAGGCAGATGGGCGCCTTTTTAAAGCTGGATATCTCCTGGGAATGGGTGTTCTCCAGTCACATCTTGGAATAGTGCAGAAATGCAGAGCTCTTGGAATCTTTTGGGTCACCAACAGCGTTCAGGGACAACCTGTCTTCAGGTCCCACTTTGTAACAAGGGCCCAGATTTAATCCTAACAGGAAGTCTTTGCCTCCTGCAGACTCTGGGGCTACTCTGGTGGGTGGTAGCCGCCTTACAGCAGCTACATCCTCGTTCCCATACACAGTTACAGGAATCCAGGGAAGAAAAGATCAAACCTGTATGATCGCTGGCAAAATGCGACCCCAAAAGAATTCCAAGAATCTACCAAGGAAGGACATGAAATAATCACCAGATGCAAAGGGGACCCACAGCTACTGCCAGCTCTCAGCATTAATCATCCCACACTCTTCAACAGCTTCTTCTGCATGTTTAAAAAGTTTGGCAGGAGCAGGACTTGGGCCTCCACTCACTTTGGAAAATGTCCCACTGCTGTGCAATTGCTCAGAGAAGGAACAGAAGGAGCTATTAGAGGGAACGGGAGATCTTCTAAAGGCTTCACTGATCCACAGTGTCTTCCTTATGTTGAACAGCAGCTCTTTTGCTGGCAGTCAGAAGGTGCTTCAGTACAGCCGGCTGGGGTTAGCCAAAACGCTTTACCCAAAGGAATCCCTGAGTCTCAGCGCCTGAGTTGTCAGCATCGGCTCCCTGGCACCTCACAGAAGCCTTTCACAGGTTCTCCGCCACAGCCATGAGCAGAAGCAACACGCTTGGTTCAGAACTGTCAAAATGATGATGGCTGGGACAGGGTGGAGGTGTGAGGTTCCTGTTTCTCAAATCTGGGCCCTCGTCACACACAAAAAGTGGACTTTGTTAGGCTGTTTCAGGTGCCTGTGTGAGTGTGTGGGGGGAGGCGGTGGCAGGTTGGAAGGAGAGAAACCATTTCACATCAATGGATAAGTGGGGGAGGGAGGGAGGGGGAGGGAAGGAAGAAAGG